TTTTTTCCAATACCTAAAATGTCAGAACAAAAAAAACCAACTGGATACATTTTTTATAAAGAACAGCTGCTTTTCCCTTTACAATCTTTACAATCTTTCCTGCTATTACAAACTTTCTTCATATCAACTACATCAGAAACAGCCACAATTCATTTAGTAACACTTGGTGCTAAATCTTCAATTTCTACTATAACGGTCAAATTGCTTAGAAGAAGGTCATCTATTGTATTATCTGAAATATTAGTATTTGAAGTTGCACAAATATCAACATCAGAAGTTGAATTGTTACCCAAAACTCGAATCAAGAAGGATTTTAAAAAAGGTTAAAATTAAATTATTGCTGAATTATTAAAATTTCCCTTTATTAATCAAATAATTTATTTAGAAAATGAAGAATTACATGAAAGGATTGAAAAACTAGAAAAAGAAAATACTGAATTTGTAAAACAATTAGATCTAATAGAATATATTAACAACAAGTTTTTCAAAAAATTAGAACAGCAAAAAAATAAATAGAGAATTTAAAAAAGGAAATTGATTGGCTCTAATCTGTGAAACCTGAACTTAATTTTATAATTGTTATAGAATCTATGGCAGTCGTTATATCAGAATTCAAAAGTTTGTAAGTTTAGGAAAGCATCGAAGAATTTAAACTAGGAAAAGTAATAAAGAGACAAAATCAATAAATCCAGTTATGGAAAATAAGCTGAAATCAGAAGAAAAAAGTGCAGAAATGAAGGTCTTAATGAAAACTATTCTTAACAAATATAAACTGAGGGTAAATGAAGTTTTTTGAGTAATATGAATAAAAAAATATTACAAAAGTTGATACCTGAATTAATGAAATCTATGGCTCCACATTTTAATCCCTCACAAAAACAAATAAATGAATGGTTAGGTAATTTACATTGCTATCAGAAAGAAAGATATCAGAAAACAAAAACTGGAAAACTAGAAGCAGAAATTGTTACTTATATGCAAAAAGTCAGTTAAATAAAATAAGATTAATAATATTTTGTATTTATATTGCTTTCAAGTATTAATTTTTAATGAATAATTAAGAAAAGGGCATGAAGAATTAAAAAAGTATAGTTACTTGTTAAATGAAGGTCAAATAAAGTTAACAAATATTGAAATAAATTAATTGATATAATTAAAAAAAACAAAGGTGCATTCATCTGAAGAAGATAAGACTGATTTAGAAAACCCTACTAAAAGAAAAATAAATGTTGTCAACTTATTCAATTCACCTTTTAGAAATCAAATAGAGATAGCGAACTAGTGTAGAAAAACACCAAGTCAGACTTCTAATGTGATATGCAAAAGTTCTTAATTTGGGCAATAATAAATGAAGAGATTTATCACTAGTAATTTAGACAGAAAAGGCTGAATAATAATTTTAGGTTAAAGGTAATTTTATTGTTGGATAAATCCTGAGGAGTCTCCAAAGGGAGAATTTTCTTCTTTAAATATATAATTGAGTTATATGATATTTGAGAATATAAACTAAGATAAATAATAGTAATAATTACACTATTAGTTTCACTGGACTATTAAATTATGTTATTTTGAACAGAACTCAAGTATCCTTTGAAAATAATAGTTACATGTGATAAGCTAGGACTATAGAATATTCTAGAGTACTTTATGCTAAGTTTGCTAATAGTAAAATTAACTATCAATATTCTAGAAGTGTTCTGGAAGATCTTTTCTTTCAGGTGACCAAAAGGATCATGATATATTGATTTGAGGTACTGAAATTATCCTTGGTATTAGGGAGATCATATGGCGAAATTTTATAGTTTAACAATGTAAATGATTACAATTAATATTTTGAAGAAGTATTTTTTATAAAATATTTTATGCTGAATAATTACAATATTAATCATAATTACTTATAGTTAAAGAATTTGATAAAATATTTGAATGAATATTTGAAATCAATTCAAACATTCTAGCTGACTTGTAAATAATATTGTAATGATTCATATTTCTATAACATGATGCTATCAGAAGATTTGCTGAATTGGATATATAGTTTGGAAGAAATTTCAGAACATGAACAAGAAAAAGAAATAGAAAAAGATAAATAATCAATAGTTAAAATCCAACAGATGAAAAATTGCTGAATATAAGAAATTATTAATATATTTAGAATATGAGAAACAAACTAGGAAAGTGCATGAATAGGTAAAATTCAGAAAACAGTTAGATTAAAAAAAAAAAAGTGAAAATCTCAGAAAATATTCAGCAAGGTAAAATCAATTAGGGCTAGATTTAAAAAAGTCAAACTGAAATATTTAAAAAGAAAAGAAAGCAAGTGGAAAAGAAGAAAGAGAAAAAAGAGGAAAATGATGAATAATTTAATCAATTGATTTTGTAATTTTTTAATAAATTTCATAAAATTTAAATTTTTTGTCATGGTAATTTTTTTGTCAAATTTTTTGTTGTGTATCAATTTTTTCCCGAATTTTTTTTTGCAATAATTTTTTTGTTGAATTTTTTATTACAATAATTTTTTTATCAAATTTTTGCTATAATATCAAATTTTTTTGCCAAATTTTTTATCACAGTATCAATTTTTTACCAAATTTTTTTATCATAGTATTAATTTTTTTATTAAATTTTTTACTACAGTATACAAAAAATTTTTTTGCTACAGTATACAAAAAAAATTTTTTTGTTATAATATTGCTAGATTTTGTGTTAAAATTTTTTTCACAATATATTAATATTTTTTTGTCAATTTTTTGTTAATATTTTTAATGCTAAGTGGCAGCAATCGTAAATAATTTATCAATATTTTTATTATTTATTTTTGTCAAATTCAGCAATAATTCAACAGTTAAATGACATAATTTCAACTAGTGTATAGAAACCTTATTTTAGATATTATTTATTCAATAATTTTAACTTTTGATAGAGAAATACTAAAAGAAGACAACACATTAATTCATAATTATAATTTTGTGAAAAAATTAAAATCTGAGCTTGAAATTATATCCATAGAATGGCCACCCCAATCTCTGGATCTTAATTCAATTGAAAATATATAGAGGAAAGTTAAATTTTGAATTAATGAGAATAAAAAACCATGTAATAAATTTGATTTAGAAGAGACAATTATTATGGCATGAAATAATATTGCATTTGATACAATTAGTGAATTTATAGATAGTATGCCTAAATGGATAAAAGAAGTGATTAAAAAAAAAGGTCATGCAACATGTTGGTAAATTTTTTTTTAGATAGTAAAAATAAAAAATTGTGATATATAATTTTTGGTCTTATAAAAATTGCCCTAATGCGGTGATACATATATAACTTACTCAAGCTTTCGAATAATTAATAAACTATTCCCGTAGCATGTTTAAGAGTTAAATAAAAATAAATGAATATTAAAACATAAAAAAATCTTTTTTTATAACTTTTATTTGTCCACTATATTTTTAATAATAATTTAGCTATTATATTAAAATTTAAATTTTCAATCAGCATTAATTGATTTTCTTTTCTTTTCAAAAAAAATCTATACTTAAGTTATTAAAGCGAGCTATCAAAAACCGACCGGTAGCTTTATTATGAACAAGTTACCGGTCACTTTTTTGATGCCTTGCCTGAATAAAAAATAGTAGCATTTACAGTAATATTTTATTCATTTTTTCAATTTATATTTGGGGTGTGTTCCTTGTGATGATTTCTCTGTAGTGCTAATGTTGATATCATGTGAAGGAGTGGTAAATGTTTTCCTTGTAATATCACGAGTTCTTGGGCGTACAATAAGTGATAGCTTCACTAGTAGGAATCAAATTCGTTCGTTATTATTTTTAAACATCACGCAAAACTTAAGTTACACAAAATTTAAAACACGAGTTACGCGAAAGTTAGGCTATGCGAACTTAGAGAATATGCACAATTCTAATTTGTGCTATATGTTGTTTAGTGATGCGATTGTTAATATTTAATAAAATGGCATGTGCTATTGTTTTCTAGAAAATATCTCAAATTAGACAAATCACTGTTTAAAGTTGTGAATTTAATGCCTCCTTCATAACCTTTAGTAAATGTTTTGCTGTTCCATAACTTGATTCAAACCCTTTAAAAAGTATAGAAAATAAAGTGACTTCAAATATAATACATCAGAATAAAGATAAAGTAAATATTTACCAGCACTTCCGTGACCATAATTATGGCAAACAAGAATTCTTTTGCCAAACTTTTCGGAAGCTAGATAAAAAAACTCGATTATTTTTTTTAAAAAAATAATACATTTCAATTATAATATTATGATATACTTGTCCATTCAGCCTCGATCCTTACTCCACCTTCACGACAGGGACGAAGACCAACCCCTTGTTTCTTAATTATTAAGGAAGTCTGACCGCTTTGTAAGATATCAGGACGAGTAGTAAGACATCGTTGAATAATTCCTTCAGCTGTAATATTATTAACATCTGTCGAATGACTGTATTTATCCTATTATTGAAAAACAGGTTTAGTGTTATAATTTTGAAAATAAGAATGTGAACAATACTCACGAATGTTCCACCAAGAATTACTTCGCCATTATCGCGGGGAATTGCATATGTCAATTCCGAACTATTCACTTCTATCATCAAAATAAGCCGCGTTGAGTTTTCCTCAAAAAAAATAAAGAGAGCGGCATAATTAAAGTTGATGAAATATTGTATTTGTTTATTACCTTTTCCTCGCCTATAAAAAGCCCAGTTCATGATGCACGGCGGGGGCAACTGCGCGACCACAACTTGGCCCCTAGCCACATATACTTTCTGGTCTTCAACACCTCCCAATGTACTAGCATGATAACCCGAACAGTTTATTACTATGTCGGTTTCACTTCCAATACATTCATTTATGTGAGATAAATATGAATCGACGCGTTGTATAGTGCCGCCCAAAAGGGTGAAAATATCGAGAAGGTAGTTAAGGTACGTTGCTGGATTAATACAAACTTGCAAAAAGTCACTTTATTAATTAAGATGGCCAATCGTTTAAGATCTAATATGATATTAGGCTACCTGTTTTGTATGTAATTCCAAACTCCACATTATTTGGTAACTCTTCCGTTCTTAAATTTCGATACTATTGACGAAAAAATTTTTATTATCAGACTTCATTATATCTAAAGCCATAAAACTTCTACCTCGTGACATAATGTCTTGTACCATGGATCAGAGAAGTTTTGCGGCAGTTTATCCCAATATTCGAATTCATCAACAATCATAGTTCCTGACTCAGTCGGTGACGTTTTGGCAAGATTCCAAAAATAATCATAAGACTCTCTATCAAAACCTTTTAGAAGTAATTCAATACATGTTTTGTATATTTTTGTAGATAGAGGCCTCTCATACCTTGTTGCCTAATGTCATCACTTGCGGCATGGCTCTTCCAATTTGCAGCAGCCCTACAATAAAAGTATACTTACTAATGTTTTAGCTTTATGATATTAATGATATCTAGAGAACACTCGTATACCAAGGACTTGTGTATTCTCCAGATGAATCCCCTGGAAAGTGTTTTGCAACCAAATGAACTTTAATCCCTTTTTCTTGCTCTAAAAGTAAAGTAGCCGTCGACAACCCCGAAACACCTGCAACGTTGAATAATTTTATCAAAATTTCCGAAAACTCCATAGATATTGTACCATTCGTTGTTATCACTACCTGCACCAAGTACAGTAACATGTTTGCTTGACATCCTTGAAATACCGGTTTTGGAAAATGCTTAATTTCTTTCGAGTCACCGTTCGTAGAAACTATTCGATTCAACACTTTAATATCCAGGCTGGTAACACAACATTGGAATGATCTTTATTACAAGGATTGTATATCATTATCCATAACAACTTCTTAATTTAAAGTTAAAATAGTTTGGATGCAGTAGAATCTCGTGCCGTAAAAATGATGCTTGGCCTAAAAAGCTATAGTAATGGTTTTTACCAAAATCATGTGGCTTGAGGTCGTAACATGTTTGTAACGTTTATGGTATTTTCGATAAAATGCATGCATAAGATCAATTAATTAATATTTCATTTGTGGTTTTTTATTTAATAAATAATCAAATAAAAATAATAATTACTTGCAATATTTGAATTTTAATTTAATTATTAATCTTTAATTATATTAAAATTTTTTAACCAATTATTTTTTTAATAATTTTTAAAACTAAATAAATAGTATATATATTAAGGATATATAGTACACTTTCCTGTCAAAAATCATCGATGTTGATCAGATTTATTCGTAATCGATAGACAATAAGAAATTTTTTTTTGTGCTTACATACATAATTTCATAGCAAAAAAAAAATGAATCATTTGAAATCTAAACATTTTATTTATTTATTTGTACATCTAATATTTTGTAGTATTGCCATTTGAAATTTTAACGATATCAACACGATAAGACATACTTTCTATTAAATTTTAGCAGATCGAATCACTTATTTGAAACCACTCTTTCAACAAAAAATTAAATAGTTTCTCCTTACTAAATAGTAATGGATTACACCTACACACTTGACGTTTCAACTCGTTCTACAAATACTCAATTGGATTGAGATCTGAGCTTTAAGATTGCCATAGAAGACAAGCAATATTTTCTTATTTTATCCAGTTTTTTACTATGCGTGCTCAGTGAATTGAGCAATTATCATCTTAAAAAGTAAAATTTTTTCCATTAAAAAGACTTTTATGAATGGTAGTAAATTATTATCAAGGGTTTCTATATACATTTTTGCAGTTTATTATCCATCGATTCATACTAATGGACCCAAACCATTCGCAATAAAGCAACTTCAAACTATAACTCCTCTTCTTCCGATTTAAAAGTTGGTATAAAGTAATCTACATCATATTTCTCTTTGGGTAATCATTAAACATAACTGTATCTATTATTTCCAAATACTTAAAAGCAAGATTCATCACTTCAAATAATGAAATTCCATTCAGAAATCCAGTTTCATTATTCAATTGTTCAATTTTGGCAAAGCAATATATTTTTTTCATTAATGAATGACTTTCGCTTGCCAACTCGGGTGTAATAACCATTTTCATGTAATTTCCATTGTAATGTATATGCACTAACTTTGGTTGAGGTTGATTATACAAATTTATTGTATATAGTATTTAAAGTAGCTTTGCAATCTTTTCTGATAATATGTAATAAGTGTCATGTATCATGGTCTGTTAGTGTGGCAGCCCTGCCTTTTTGAGTTGGAGGTTTCGTTTCACCAGTTTTCTTGTGATAATTTATTATATCATAAATTGTTGATTTAGGTATATTAAATGTTTTTTATAGTAGAAGGTTTAGAATTGCACTTTTAAGCACCAATAATTTGAAACTGTTTGTTTTCTAACAACTCTTTGCATTTTTTTTTGCCATTGCAAAAAAAAATTCAAATACAAACATAAAAAAAAAAAAATTATCATTTTTGAACAGCAAAGCTTTTGTTAACTCTAACAATATAAAACTTATGCAATGTGTTATTTAATAATAGTACGAAAAAAAACTTTTAATGATTTTTTTCATTTGACGATTTTACGAAAATGGATCAATATTTGGTGATTTCTGGCAGAGGGATATACTAAAATTAAATTTACAACTAATTCACTTATTTTTATTAATTGATAACTTTAAGTATAACTTTGAAAATAATTTATTATTTAATTTATAGTTTAGATAAATAATTCTTTTAACTATAAATATCATTACTTGTTGATAATAATGAGTTCCTAAAGTATAGAGTATATAAAATTTACAGATTATTTATGTTCCTTTATATGAGATAAAATTTATAACTCTTTATTTTAATAAAAACAAAATTTAAGAAATAAATTTTAATAATATAAAACTATTCTGGATAATTTTTTATAATTATTAATTTAAAAATTTTAATGTTTTCAAGTAAAGAATATTGATTTTATTCTTGTTTTTCTTTTTAAAAATTCATCTTTATCTATAGATTATTATTACAAATTCTTTATATAAGTTCTAATTAAAATTAAAACTTATCTATTTGTTATTAATCTTAATTTTCTTTTTGATTATATCAAATAAGTTTAAATCTATTATTTTATTTTTATTATATATATTTAACTTTTTATTCTATTTTATTTTTTTTAATCCTTTATTAAGTTAGTTATATATACTTTATTAAATATTTGTAAGTTGTATATATAAAATAAGATATCAAAGCTATTTCTCTAACTAACTTACTTGTTTTGATTATACTATCTCTCTAAGTACAACTTTGGAAGTAATTTATTATTCTATTAGTAGTTTAACTAAAAATTCTTTCAACTTCCAACATCATCATCTATAGATCACTATTGCAAATCACTTATTTAAGTTTTAACAAAGATCAAAACTCAATCACTTCTTACTATACTTTACACTATTTAGTAAAATTTCTTCCAACTTCTTTTCTTTAATTTTTTTCTCTTCATATATTAATTTTTAATAAATAAATTTTTTATATACTTAATCTTACTTTCTTGATTTCATGAATATATTGATATTTTTATTTGTCATCTTTATAGATTCCTGATATTTGTTTCTACTCGATTACCTTTTTATATCTAATATTTTATATTTTCTTTTGGAAGTGATTACATACCTTTTTCTGTATTTTTATTATTTATCTTCTTATATCTTTTTCAATTTTCTTATCACAATATTTCAGATTAACTATTCTTATAATTAGATCTTTTTTTTTATTAATTACATATAGAAGCTGAATATATTTTAATTGATTTCTAAAATTCTTTTTATTAGTTTCACTGTAACATATGCAATGTTAGGAATTCATTTCATCATTATGTATCTTAGTTAAAGGAAAACTTTTATTAAATGTAAACTAGGAGCAGACAACTTTGAGTTGTCAGTAAAGGAAAAAGACAGCCTTTAAATACATGTTTTCCCAACATAAATAAATATAATAAAAATACATG